ATCGGGCTCTTCTCACTGCAAAGAGAGAGCCATTATCACTGTGGTGTTGCTTGTCTTAACTACTGACCCACTGATTCCAGTCGGACTTTTATCCGATAAATAAAACTGATATCCCCCGGTTTGCTAAGTGGTGCTTTTATAGTGCGAATTTTCACTGATCCCTTGGCTTTAACCCAGGCTGAGGATAGCTTCACAGTGACAATTTTAACTTTAAATCCTTGATATGCAGTTTAATTTGAACTTTTGGGGCACAGTCGCGAAGGTGGCATCCACAAATGTGTGTGTTCCTGTTTTTCAGATTGCTGCTTGTAGGCGGCTGTGAATCAGGCGATGACAGTGCATCCAAGGCCTCTTGCTGTGGCATCACAGCCTGGAGGGCTCTTTCTGGCTCACCACACTACAAGCAGGTCACCAGCTATGAGGACGATGTCAACATGGCAAGGAGTCACACATGCACACACGTGTTTATGCAAAAAAATAGATATATTTATGCAGTATGTAACACATTACATCTTCTGTTTGTGTTAGAATCAGAAAAGAGGTTTCTTCAGGGTTCCCAGTTTTAGACTCTTTTCCAGACAAGGAGACGAAAAGGTAGGGCTGCCCTCCTCTGTGTGCCTGATTGAGAATTAAGCTTAAGTTGTGGAAGCTGGTGAATATTCTCTTTAACATGATGTGTGTGTCGTCATTGGTCAGGACGGTGTGTTTCGCGTGAGCCTGAGCCCTGACAGCACCCTGCTGGCTGTCATCCACTTCTCTGGCCGTCTGTCTCTCTGGGACATCCCGTCCCTTAAACAGAGGGCAACATGGAGTCAGGACCTGCAGGTATGCCTCTGACTTACTTGTGATTGAAAGCATCCATGATTTTGCTTAAGTACAGTAAACCTGTGTGCACTTCCGTTTGTGTGCCGTGGGAATATTTTGTACATTAGATGCTTGGCTTACTGTATTAATGTAATCTCTTTCTGGCCAAGGTGTGTGGTGGGAAAGATTGCGTGAATGTGTGTGTGCTTCCGTCAGACAGAAAGTGACATGGCAAATGGAGAACTTATATTTGCAGAATGCTTTGCGGATTTATGCGGCGTGTAAGCATGTTCTGCTTCATTGCTGGCACAGCTTCTGTTTGTGCGTGTGTTAAAAGTGTAAACAGGGTTAGCAGATTAATTTCTTCTCCCATCGCTCTCTCTTCTTCTTTTCCTCCCTTCTTCCTTCCTTCGTTCCTCCCCGCAGCCAGGATTTGAGGAGATCAACCCAGAGTGGAAGACATCGCTGGAGAGAAGGAAGAAAATAAAAGGTAGTTTGGCCCGAAGGGCGAAAGACAGCCTAGTTGGCTGCTGACATAGCAGTCCAGCCTGGATACAATTTAATGATCTTTGACGTGCCTTATTCACTGAATTATACAGTTATTAAACATACAACCATAGAGTGTGTGCCAAGGATAGCAAAGGCTGCCCATGGCTGTGTATGGGTGCGTTTCTGTGCTTGTGTAGTTTCCCTTGTGTGTGTGTGTGTGTGTGTGTGTATTCTGTTTGTGCAGCTTTGACAGTTTTGGGCCAGTAGTGATGACAGCTGTGACAGCTTCTGTAAGCAATAATCTGTGTGATACTTCATCTCAAGCATGACAAGTGATGTCACATGTCCACATGTGTAAATACATCTTAGAGGAGGAAAGTAATTCAGAAACACTGTGATCCCAGAAAGTGGGGCCACTGATGACAAAAGCTGTACAACGCACGCTCAGGCAAACTTTTATTACAAGTAGGGGAACCATCTTTTCTGTTCTGTTGAGGTCAGCTTCCTCTGGTAGACAGTCACATCTTTAACACTACCCTTGTGTCTCGCTGTCGCAGATAAGGAGCAGTTTTATCCGCTGGTAGATGTGAGCTGGTGGAGTGACAACGTGCTGATTTTGGCCCGCTGCTCTGGCTCTGTCACCGTCTCTTCTGTCAGGACATTGCGCAACCTTCTGGGGAAATCCTGTGAATGGTTTGAGCCCTCACCTCGAGTCACTGCTGCGCATGATGGGGGCTTCCTCAGCTTGGAGGTAAAAAAAAGAAAGAACATGTAAAGATAGAGGTGTTCACGTGGTTAAGCAAACAGAGTTCAATGGTGCAGGCCTCATGAAAGCATCCTTTTGCAGTAGTTAGATGATAGATTTTGGACTTCAGGACTTTAAAAGGCACATGGGAGAATAGAGGACAGTTCTTCATCTCTTTTATCAGTTTTCCACACTGCTTATTGAGTTCAGTGTGGCACAGGCCTGAAGCCTATCTGAACAGGCAGTGGTCTGGAACAATGAAAGAGACTATATGGGCCACATGTTTGTCATGAGGACATCACTTATTTCATTAAAATGAAAGAGTAAAAGTGTAAAATGGGCGTGGCTGCACATTTTTAATAAAAGGTGCACCTACTAACACAAGTGTGTGCTCAGGTCCTCTGACAGCTGAGGTGAATGTGTGTGATTCATTTTTTTTCTGCTAAAAAACGACATCTTTATATCCCTGCAGGTATTTCCAGTTTTCTAGTGTCATTGTGTGAAACAATGTGTAATTGTGTATCTGTAGTGGGAAAGGGATGAAAAATGATTTCCTGCATCTTCATCCTCAGACAAAGACCATGATATCACATCACCCCGCTCTTTGCTTTAAGTCGTGTGCTTTTTTATTTTTTTGAAAATCTGATTGCGTAGAGCACAATAAAAAGCGAGCAATTTCTTTAGCTGCTAACTCTGAGGAAAGGTTTCATCACCCTGTCTCAGTGCGGAGTGTGTGGGGAGGGGGGATGGGCATCTCTTGTTGTATCTTACAGCAGCGTGTGCATTGATAATGCCCTGAACATGCGGTTGTGCGTATGTCTCCACAGATGTGGAGTATTTTCCCTGCTTCTATTTTATGATGATTGCTGCGCACAGCTGTTATACAGGTGCTAAACGTGTCACGTTTTTATGAGTGAAAATCCAGAGGAGTATTTGCCACAGTGCGCAGTTTTAAAATGGGCTCCCAACTGAGGCAATCACAGACCTACAGATCAGGTTAAGACAAGTGAAAGAAATCACTTTGGACAGCTAGGATTTAGATTTTTCTATTGAGCAGCTTGACCTTGCTGCTGTTTTGTGTTCAGACAGCCTGCTGAGCTAGCATGAGGGCGTTAAATTAAGTGTTCTTACCAACTTAAACACAGCTAGATGTAAACTGTGCCGGGTGCTTTATCATCCGCCATTGAATGCTGGCACCGACGTGTCCATATGCAGCATCAGAAAGTCACTCTGGGCAAAAGACTGTAAATCTGAGGCTCAGTCAGTTGGAAATGCGTCGTCTTCTGTTTCACAGCCCTCATCTTATGATCTGGGCCAATGAAACAGATGTATTTTATGTGAGAAGACAACTGTGGCTTTATGATCACTTTTAAGCCATGTATTGGCAGTGTCATTCAAAGTCTTGCGCTTCCACCCTCATTTCAATTTGTCTTGTGTTTGTTTATCAGTGTGAGGTGAAGCTGGCCCAGAAGCGTGGGCGCCTGGAGAGCAGCCTCAGTGGGGGAGCCAGCGAGGATGAGGAGGGAGATGATGGTGGAGAATCTGATTCAGACGAAGAGTCCTCAGCCAAAGCCCGCTACTTTGGCTACATCAAGCAGGGCCTGTATTACGTGACAGAGATGGAACGGTTCGCTCCACCACGGAAACGCCCTCGCACAGTTATTAAGAACTACCGTCTGGTCAGCCTGAGGTCAACCACTCCGGAAGAACTGTACCAGAGGAAGGTAGGAGGCTAACACGGCTTGTAAATAAATGCACAGTCTGATGAGAAAACGAACTCTTTGGAAGCAATATGTTTGTGGGTGTCACGATGCAAGGCAATAATTTTATTGAACAGGTAAAAGCTCACATTGTGCCCCACAGTGAGGATACCCTGCTATTTAGTCAGCAGGGTGAGAGCTAGATTTAATAAGTGGGTAGCAGATATAAGTTACGTGGGGTTTGTCTCTTGAATTTCAAAGACTTCCTCTGAAGCCTGAATCTCTATGGTTACATTTTATGTTTCACTTTGAATTGTGAAAGTGGTGGATCATGAGACCTTTGTATGGCTGCAGAATAAATCCAGCCCCTCTAGTAAGTGGCTCTCACTGAAAAGCTTGTGATGAAGCCTGTTGAAAAAGATGAATTTCCATTCAATTTTCTGGAGCCATTTATTGTATGTTCATCACTAAACAGTGAATCCTGGCTTTGATGATCCCCCGACTGATCTGTTGCCGATCCCCTGCATGAATCCTCCTGCAGATTAGGGATCTTTGATTCAGTTTACCATGCATCTTTATGCGTCATTACAACTGCAGATTTTCCTTTTCACTACTGCACATCATGCATATAAAAAAATATGGTCAATTTCCAGCTCGCCTATGCATGCTTATGTCTCAGCTCTGGTAGTTGCCACCTACGCCTCTCTAAACTGTTGCTTTCCAGTGTGCTTTGGTTTTGACAGGTCTGTGGATTGCATTCTCTTACTGTGCACCTCAGACAAGGAATATTTAGAGAAATATCTAAACTTAGACAAACTTATGTGCAGGGATGGATTTCATGGCATTTATTGTGTATTTTACTTTATGTTTCACTTTATGTTGCATTTGTTGCATGTTGTGGGTCTGTATGGCTGCCAGCTCTATCTTGGTAAAGCGATTTTGGGACTTCCTCGAAAATAAAATAAAAAGTTAATAATTTAACCATAAGAATTTTTATGATATTTGTGATAATATGGTGATTAACTCAACTAACTAACTAAATCCACAAAAAATCTGTGACCATCTACATTTACAACTTGCATTCAGAATCCAGTCAAAGCCTCGTTGATTTCAAATAGAAATTCAGAAATTCCTCCACAAATAGTGACATACTTGCTGCAGAACAGTGATTTACTTGCAAAATGACATAGGTGCTTGGCAACCATGCTTTTATATAGGAAAATAACCAGTAGGCAACCAGCTGAGTCGAGTCCACTATCGTAAAGAGGCACATCACACATGAGTTGCAGTCATCGGTGCAGACTGACCCCGGTGGCTGCTGCCACTCATTTAGAGCTGCTGAAAGTTTTAGTTGTCGAACTGTCCAGACGTCTCTGTTGAAAACTCTCTAGCATTACGTGCCTTTGGTGCATCAGCTGTGTGCTCGGCCAGCAATTAGGATGGTGGTAACTCGGTTCATATCGACAATAAATGCAAATAACTTTGGTATTGTCAAGGGAACCATCTTTAAAGCTGAACTTGCTATTTTTTGTTTTTTTTGAAACATTCAGGGAATAGGTGCTGTTTGTAGACACACAAGGCAAAGTTTGACATTTCCTGTTGCAGCTGTGTTAAACAGAGAGTTCTCGGAGTGAGGTCGCACAGTTTTGGTGAAAGTAGAGAGTCAGATTTCTCTTACTGTTTACTTATTCATTGCGGCACACGCAACAAAATGCTTACGTGTTTAGGTTGTGAAGAGCTGTCGTCAGTGCTCCTGCTGAGGTGCCTTCATGTGTTGGATTTGAAGCCTCAGCAATCTAAACAACAATTCCAGTGCTGATGTGCAGTTCTCTGCCTTGTGTGGTTTTATAAATTCATACTGGGAAAGAAATTAATATTACCTACTTAACATGTCAAATATAGTCCATTTCTAATTATACAGTCCTTTATGTAAGGCCTTTATCATATTAACACTGATACTGAGTCATATGTGCCTCAGTGCTGTGCTAGTTAATCTTTTTTTTCCAATGTTGGATATCACATTTAGCATGAAGCTCTTCATTTCTTTTTGCCACTTAATTTAGCAGCATCTGAAGAACGTCATCTGAATCCATTTGGCCATTGACTGAATTGTAACGGGCTGATCTGCAAAATTGGTTTCTGACTAAATAAATCCTGTGCCAGCTCAGTGAAGTGCTATTGTTTTGTTGGATCGGCTCCAAAGTGCTGTTGAAGAGAAATGAAAACCAAGCAAGATGTTCAGCCTGCTTTAAGGCTATTTTTCAGACAGGGGATTCTCTGAAATGCTAATTGCTGCATTAGAAATATGGCTGTTGGTGCTAGTTGCTACAAATTGCAGCAAAGACAACAACATGCTTTATCATAAAGCCCAGTGAGAGTGGTATCGGCTCTCAACGGGCGCAAGTTTGAGCACGGTTCATCAGTCATTTTTATGACCCATCATCCACTGCCTTCTTCATCATTGTCATCATCATTAGATGCCATTAGTCATCACCATCAATCCTAACAGTGGAGAGTTACAAAGTAATACATCATTATTATCTCTTTGTAACACTTGGTACGAGCAGCACCATCCCAGCTGCTGCTTCTGCTCTCCTGTTTGATTTTTTTACATTTTTTATTTGTTTGGTTTTAATTTGTACAACATGTAGCTCTATAAGTAAAGAGGGAGGGTCATATTTATTATATGTGTATGATTGAGTTTAATGTATGCATGGATATGTTGGTTTTTTTTTTTTTTACATGTGTTTTAATTCCAAGTTATCGCTTGTCTTATATGTGCTTAGTTTAATTTGATATTTCAGTAGCTACGCACACACAGACACACACACGCAGACACTTTCACTCAGTCGCAGAAACCAGAATGACCTGATCTCTCCCCAGAGATTCACCTCAGCCAAGGTCTGTGCTGCAATTGACTGTGAATAGACTCGAACAAGTGATTCCAGTTTATTTCCTCAAGTCAGCCTGTTCATGTGTTTAAGAGTTTGATGATCCATTTGTTGGCGTAACCCTGATTGTATGAGTAGAATACTGGCAGAGCTGCTAACAGTTTTATTAGCTGAATCCAGAGAGAGAAGGAAACATTTTTGATGTCCTCCTACGTGAGGTTTAACTGTGTGGGGTTCTTATTGCCCTCCAGGAACCACAGTCTGGATAATGTGTTGCTTTGTACTCCTACACAGAAAAAGAGATGGCTACTCAGTGTGTCTGTCAGCCAGTGTTCTGCCACATATGCACTTAAGCACAAATTGAGTGGGCTTGCAAAAAAAATATCCTTTTGATATTGGGCTGAAAGATTTTGTGAGACATTGATATGACAAAAAAAATCTTTTATTATTATAATGTGCTGACATTTATTACTGGCCAATAAAATATTATTAATAATGACAACATCAACAATAAATAGAAAGGGACAGTAGCATGTGTCCATTTTCATGACAACTCATAAGACCATTACAGTTAAAATAGGTGATTGTGCTGTTAAAATGTTTTAATGTGGAAGCAGAAATGTTTCACAGAATCAGTTTGTCTGACTTGTTCACTGCTTTAGATTAATATCATCATAATCTGAATATGATTTTTAGCTAGCCTCTGCATTGTAAGTAATATACTTTTGCATGCTAAATAAAACTAAATAAGGGTAGAGCTTCACTTTAAAGTACTTACTTGCATGTAGAGGTGGGAATCACCATACATCCCACAATACGATATTATCACAATACTTAACGCACAATACGATATTATCACAATACTTAACGCACAATACGATATTATCACAATACTTAACGCACAA